TATTCCAGCCAACCTCTAAGTTAGTTTTTCCAGCTAACTTAGAATAGAATGCTTGTAATATACTTAGTCTTTTATTATACTGTATCTGGTTGATACAGTAAATCTTCATACTTATTTATCTTTTTTCAGGAGACAACTAAATACTTATCTATATAAATAAGGTAAAATAATATTCCTGGAGCAATGAATAATTTGACGTTGCTTTGGGGTTTCGTCCTACCTTTTGGGATTCCCACAGACGGTGCCAATTGTACGGGGAGGAAATAATTCTCCTCGTATAATCCTGTTGACCAAGTCCACGCTTCTCCGTACGACGTCGCTTTGTCACCTGAAAACACAAACGTGAGCTAGCCGGCGGGTGTGTGCCGGAAACCTCTCCGATGCCTAAGTCAGAAAACTTGACAAATAGACAAGGCTCTAAGTTTTCAGAAAGATTGTGTTCAATTACCTCCTCCAAGGTGATGCTTGTGAGCCTTTATAAGTTTCCGTGGCACAATCCTAGTAGGACTTGTACTTCTCCATGCAGAGTCCTCCTAGGATTCATTCTCCTAAGGATAATGCTTATCCTTTTACACCCTCCCCCACTGCTTAAACCAAGTGGGATGGTTTTCTTTATGGCCGAACTTCCATTTGACCGAAGTAAAATTGGCTATACCGAGCCACAGAGGGCCGAACTATCCTTAGCTCGGTCTTCTCCTCTAACTCATTATTTCGGCTGTGCTGTTCAACCTTGACGTACTTAGATCAAACTTCCAAGTAACAAGTTCTGACCGACCTAACCATTGTAAGTCACGATCGGACTAACTCCGAAACCGGCCTTCTCAGAACATACTGTGACCGGACTAACTCTGAGACCGGCCTAACTGTGAGTTGCCTAAAGACCGGAGTAGTTTTACTCTTCCTTGGGCCGAAGTAACTATCTCTTCCCAAGGCCGGAGTAACTTTGCCCTTCTGGGCCGGAGTATCTATTGCGGCCTTCTTACTTAGTCCTTCGCGTTTTGGGCCTCAATGCCCAACTCGCAGCTCGGCCCAATTTTTCCCAAAAATTACCCTCTCAGTTTCTCAGTAAAATAGGTCCGAATTTATGAATAATGTTCGGTTACCTATTTTCGAACAAATAATAAATGTTTGGTTACCGGTCCCTGAACAAATAAAAAATGTTCGAGCTTGTGTTTCTGAATTTCAGTCATATGTATAGGAGTTCAGCTCTGAAAAAATGACAAACATATTTTATTATTTTTTCCATTTTTTTTTAAGAAACTTACCCTTACAAGGCTAATCTCTTTTGAGTTAAAAATAATATCAAAGTTATGAACCTCCTCTAAACTTTTAGTGTTGTCTCGTCTTGTCTTATGAAGTTGTGGTTGCAAAAAAACTTCCACTCATTTTCATTGTCGGTGAAGTGTAGGTAATCAAATGGTTGCCACCGTTATCGTCGGAATATTGCCACCAAAGGGTTTTCAAGGTTTTGAGGATTGGTAGGTTTTAAAGGTGGTATTTGGGGAAGATGGATGGGTGGCGATGGAGGTGTGTGCTCTCTTAAATCCTAATTCATGTTGTAGTGAGTGTGTATGTTTAATTGTGAGATGTGGTGTTCCAAAATTAATGATGCCCTTTGTAGTAATTTTATTTGAGGTTATTATTGTAATAAAAAAAAGCTAAAAATTGAGGGATCTAAAATAATTTACGAAGTGTTAATAGTAGCACTCCCCTAAAAAACAGGACCTCCAGATACAAATTGACAAATTTGTGGACCAATTAGTTTAGGAAATATATCATGGGATTACATGGAAAATAGCTCTATTGGATTTGGGGGTAATTTTCTGCAAAAAAAACAAATGTGATCCAACAAATAGTTATTGATAAACGATTGTCTCAGATGTTTTGAAAATTCATTATTTTAATTGATTTTTTAATTTTAAAAAAAAACGATGTATAGTAGAAAAAGTTGATTCTTTAATAGTGATATTTTGACTTTTTAATATGCCTTGAAATGTGTCATTAATTTTTTTACGCGAATATTTCATTAGATTGTATTAAAAAAAAATGAAGAGATGAAAAGAGAATTTTACTATACACACCATTTAAAAAGATTGTATCATATACATTTTTCGTTATGTAATTTTTTTTAATTATAATAATATTTTAGTTAAGACTATGAGATTTTTAGTTATGAGTATGTTTAGGTATAAGTTTTTTTTCTTTTTAGTTACAGCATCTTCAATAGTGAATCATTTTTTTCATTAAATTTGAGTAAAAACCTCCATTTGATATCAAGTGCTCCAGCGGAGGGTTTTGTAACTTCATCAACCCACCGGCTGACTGGGCGAACGATCGACAAGTGTAATTTTTTCACAAATTTTTACCTTGAGGTGATCATTCGAGGGATATCAAGAGACATCAAGTGGTGAAAATTTAATGACAATGAACAGTGATTTGATGAATAATCCTCAGTTTGATAAAAAAAAATGAAATCCTGAATTTGATGAATAGTTAGAGGAGCAAAAAGTAACTTTCCATCGTCAAATCCATTATCAAATTTATGATTTCATTTTTCTTTTATCAAACTGAGGATTAATGTGCCTTTCATCAAATCACTCTTCATTGTCCTTAGATTTTCACCGCAAATATCTCTTGAATAACTATCTTAAAACAAAAATTTATAAAAAAATTACATTGATCGGCCAATCAATCGATCGGCCATCTACCTAATCGATAAGTAATTTAATGAAATTACAACACACTCATTGGCCTTGTTTGGTTTGTGTTTTCCAAAAATTTTTAGGAAAAATTCTCTACAAATAAGTTTTCAAAGGTAATCAAACTAAACAAATTTTTCCAAAAAAATTTCTCAAAACTTGTTTGGTTTACAAATTTTCCAAACAAATCTCTCTCTCATACATATTAAATCAATTACTTTTTTCAAAACTCTCTCTCAAAATAATTTTTCAAAACATCTTTTAAAAAAAAACCAAATCAAACAACTTTTCGTATTTTTTATCCCCAAAAAACCAAACATTCCCATTGAATCCCTTCATATCAAAAAAGAATTTTTGGTCAAACTTCTACTCAAATTTACTATTGGAAATGCCTTGGGCCTCAAAAAAATATAAAGTTATGGGTAGCCTCAAAATAAAGTTACAAAACCCAAACAGACAAGTTGAGAGAATCGATCCCTTACCCGAAAATCATCCGCCGTAAACTTGGTGTAGTCTCTGGCATGGCTTCTTCGACGGAGCAGCAGCCTCTGAAAAAGCGAAAGCTGTACGAGCCACCGGTATCAGAACCAGCGCAAGAAGAAATCCTTAGACGACGGAGAAACAGAGAAGAAATCCGAAGCTTATACGACACTTACAAGCGTATTAAATTCTCTATCTCTCAAAAAGACGCCCACCTCGACCAACCCTATCTCTCTCTCATTACTGCTTCTAGAGGTCAGAGATTTTTTTAATTCTTCTTCCCGATTTTCTTGATTCATCATCTTTCAACTCAACTCAACTCAATTCAATTCAGTCTTGTTTGTTGATTGTGTGCTGGAAGTGATACTGAGACATTTAATTGAATTCGTTTGAATTCTTTTTTAGGGCCATGATGAGAGATCCATTTCTTTTATTTTCTCTCCCAATTCAAACGAAAACGGGCTGTTGTTAGGTTTTTTGTTCTTTAAAATGTAAAGATGGTGGGCATTAGGTAGGTGCCTGACCTGAAAGAAAAAAGTGAAAATTTATGGAAAAAAAAAAACCTCAAAGAAAATGGGATGTGTTTGTCATGTAGGTCTCTAGGAGTGGACATCCATATTTGCAAGGTTGTTTACAACGAATTTTCTTGTAAGTTGATGTTCTGAATTCATGTTCAAAGCTCTTAGTCTAGGGTTTTATTCCCTTAGTCTGTGTGTCTACTTTTCTTTTTAATTAGTTTTGGAATGATGATGGGTAAATTTTACAACAATTCTATGATGATGCCATACCAAATCCAAAAGTGTGTTCCTAATCCAACCAAGAATTATGGGATTGAAATTTATGCAAGTTACAGATTCCAGCTACTAATCTTGGTGGGAAATGAAAATGAGAAGAGAAAATTGGTAAAATAAAATGAAAGAAAAATTGAAGAAGAGGAGAGGAAGGAGAAGCATACATGGTTATCGATGCTGGGCTGTAATAGTTTTGGGGGAGGAAAAGTTCAATGTATAACTTTCTACATTGGGTTATAATGGTAACCTTCCACTAAAGCTGGTTGGTTAATTGGACCCATAGATACTATTGCTGAGAATAGTTTGAAGTAACACAGATAGAAGTCTCAAAGATTTTAAATGAAGCAAACACCTAGCCCCCAAAGTAAAGTTTTGTAGAGGAGTGTAAATGACCAGGGGCTTCAAATGGATTTGCACTTGTTACTTTTTTTAAGCTTTCTCCCCTAAATTCTTCCCTTTTATGGCTGCTCCCTTGGGCTTGTCAAGTTTCAATTATGCTCTTATGTCCTAGACGTTTGTAAATTATTTGTGTGCATGTGTAGAGAGAGAGAGAGAGAGAGAGAGAGAGAGTGTGTGTGTGTGTGTGTGTGAGTAAATATTTTCTTCATATATACTAATTTAAAGGGATGTCACGGACATGCGGACGCAATAATATATGTATAATTTGGATGAAGAGGGTGAGCAAATGTAATTTACTTAATAAAAGAAAAGCTCTATAATGACTTACTTCGGTTTAGTCAAAAAAAGCTCTATAATGTAATTTTCAAAAAGCAGTTTTTGAGCTTTTTGTTTTCCACGTTTTTCTTATTGTTGTCTAAAAAACCTAAGGAGCACATGGACGCGGATGCGGATGTTGACACGGATACGTACACGGGACACGGGACACGGCGATTTAAAAAAAATGGGGACACAGACACGACGGGGACACAACAATAAAATATGTTCACATATTTTTATTTACTATCTAGATTAATATTACATCCACAAACAATCAATATTAACAAAAACTAACTCCAATTATATATATATATTTTTTAAAAAAGTACTTTTAAATTAACACTTACAGTTTATATCTTTTTTTATGGATAAGGAAAAAAAAATATTCAGCATCCAATATTCATCAAAAGCACTAAGAAAATGGGAGAAAAGACAAGTTAGCATGTCCCTAGTGTGTCCTCGATGTGTCTCCTGAAAATAAATTAATTAAGGAGACATGCCATTTGGTGTGTTCCATACGTGTCCCTGCTAGGTCCGTAAGTTCGACATGGCTACGACACTTGTTTTTAAGTGTTGGTGCTTCATAGTAAAAAAACAAAACAAAACAAAACAAAACAAAACAAAAATTCAGGGGTTATTTGGGATGATCTAAATAAGTATACTTTTTGACTTTTTTTGAAAAGATGTGCAGAAAAGTAGAAAGGTGATGTGACGCAAATAAGTGCACTTATCTACTTTATGCCAAATAGTGCCTTAGCACATTTTTGTATTTTATTGGGTATTTTTTAAAGATTTTTTTCACAAATATTTTAGTTTTTAGGTGCATCTAGGTTAGGTGCATCTAGAAAGGAAAAACAAAAAAATGAGAAACTAAAATATGAAAGAAATCCACTAAAGATGACGAAACACTAAAATGAGAAACTCAAAAACTGTTTTTGAAAACTCAAAACCAATTAGTGTTTGGTTTTTGTATGCTATTATGAATGCTGCCGACTTTGCAGGTTGTACTAGTGTCCAGCGCATTGTTGCAGATCTCATACCCCGATATGCGTCATACTGTCCAACTGCACTTGAAGCTGCAGCTAAAGTTATTATCAATATGCACAACTGGAGCTTGGCAGTGATAAATAGAGGAGAGGATGCTGATGGTGTTGCATTCGGGACTGCAAAAGCTTGTATATTTGGTCTAGCTGATATCTGTCATACTGCTTCATCGGAGGCACCAACATCATCAGTTATTCAAGGCATCTGTTCTGCTGTTTTCTTTAATGTGCTTACCTTCCTAATATCCTCTTTTGAGGGGAAGGATATTTTTCAGATTATTGATATGGAAACTCTCAAGTTACAAAATTCTGCTGAATTTTTTTCTGAGCTCAAGCAAAAGTTTTCAGATGAAGATGTATCCGAATTGTTTAAATTGTCCAAGTTCCGTGCACTTTGTCTTCTCAAAATTTTCTTTAGTTATCCTAGAAATACACTTGCAGCTTGGTTTGAGCTCTTTGACTCCACTGCAATGGAGGGAGCTCAAAAGGAAGGACATTACTTCCTTAGTCAAGTGACAAGCAGGCTTAATGTTGATGACGTGGCTCATGATTTGGACAATACAAGAAATGAGCACAAATTATCAACAGCTACTATGGTAACAGATGATAAAGGAAATGATGTTATTAGTGAGGGGCATGTCTCAGATGGCAACCAGGCTCTAGGAGATGCATCTCCTGTCTTAAAGAATTGCTTGCTGGGACTGGTAATACTCCTGAGCTGCTTTAATTTTTAATAGAATTCATGGATGTGCATCTTGATTTCAGTAAAGTTTTATAACTTCTGGTATTGATTTTCTTAATTTCATCTAGCTATGAAGTGACTTAAGTCTTTCAGGTCGATGTTTGAGCTGCTAGATTAAGATGTCTTTCTAGTTATATAACATGGATTTTCTTTCATCTGTATCCGGGAAGGCCTATATTTACTGCTTGGATCGTTTAAATTATCTTTGCTTATGGAAGGGTATTTTGAATTTTAGTTTCAATATGTGCTTTGCTATGGAAGGTTTGTTGTTAACCTTGTAGCATAGCACTTGTTTGACAGATACTTGTCTATTTAGTGTTTTTGTTTTGGTTATTAAAAAAAAACTGTTACCTCTATTCTATATTCATAAAAAGTCCGTCCTTCATTATAAATTTTGGCAATCATGGTAAATCTTGTGTAAATATTCTTTAAAGTTAACTAGAATGTACAGTTGATACCTTGGAGATAATAGACCTTTTGTAAATGAGAGCTGTGAGGGTAGAATGCATTGATTTTCCCCTATGTGGTTTGTAGGAAGTGGAATTATGGTTTGCTATACAAATGGAGTTGTTTGAAAATAGTTGCAAGAAAAAGCATCTCTTTTGTTACATATAAATGTATGCCAGATATAAATGGTATACGTCTGTTGCTTTCATCATGTGTAGTCCAGGTCTATATTTTTTGCACACTATGAATCACAGAAAGTGGGGAACATTCTGTTCAAAGGTATAGAATCTTGTTGATGTTTCTATATCAAAACAAGTGGTATCTACTGCTGTTAGTTGGATCCTGTTATTGGTTTGTCACTTTGAAATGATTGTCTTGTACCTGGGCATTGTTCTCATGCAGGTTGTTGGCAAGGATCCTTCATTGAGAAGGTGGATATTCTCCAAATATAAGAAGTTATGCAAATCAGCATCTTCAGAAGTTGTATCAGAAGTTACATCTGTCTTGGAACAAATGTTTGAATCTTTTACCGAGCTGGTTAAGCTAGAAGACATCCAAGTAAATAATGATGAAGATGATTCAAATCCATCTAAATACATAAATAGACAATATTTGGTTCCTAGGAGGAGTACTAATCAACATGAGAGCTCTTCTGATGTTTCTGGAAGAGATAATTCAAGAGTTCATGATGATTCGGTGGACAAATTTTCAGGTCAATATTTGAAGCCTCATAGCTCATTAGTTCCTCTTGAAACTGATTTCTCGAATGCAAGTTCTAGTTATGATAGTGGTGGCTCAAAGTCAATGAATTTTGAGACTGGGGAGCATGGAGATTTATCCCGTGGTAGGTCTTCCACTCCCAGGGATCTGTTGAACAATCAAATGCCCTCTCCTGTCTCAAGAAAACCATTAGAATTCAGGACTAGTTCATTTAAACATTTAAACCATTTTGGCCAAATTGAGAAGAATCAAGTTTCAAACTTGGATCTTAGTTTACCTGCCTTGAGGTCAACCAGTGGAGGCGTAAATCTTGCTTTTGAATCTCCTAAACATCATCTGGCAGTGCAGCATCCTTCTACAAAAAGTCACGTTATTTGGTACTCTGATGGGGACCCTGCATCCATGGATATTTTCTCAGCTTCTAAACAACTCTGGTTAGGTTCTTTAGGCCCCGATGCATCTGAAGCTCTTGTAAGGTTTCAGTTTGAGAAGTTTGGTCCTATAGAACAGTTTTTATACTTTCCATTTAAAGGATTTGCCTTGATTGAATACAGATATATTATGGATGCAATAAAAGCTAGAGAGATTATGCGGGGATGCTCTCCTTGGGGTGCTTTCCTTAACATAAAGTTCCTAGATAAAGGATTGGGAACCAGGGGAATTGTGAATGGTGTTGCAGTCGGTTCTAGTTGCCAAGTTTATATTGGAAATGTTTCAAGTCTTTGGGCCAAGGATGAGATCCTCCAAGAATCGACGAAAGCTGTTTACAAGGGCCCGTGCATGGTTACTGACCTTACCAGTGAAGGTGCCTTGCTGTTGGACTATGAGACTCCTGAAGAAGCTGCTGCTGTAATGGCACATCTTAGACAGCTCCGTAAGGAAAGAAGTCATCCTATTATAGCTCCGGCTAACGTCGTGAGGCCTATGGATGTTACAAGATCTGGGCCTGCCTCTATTCCTGTTGACTTCAGAAGCAATGATCTTGGAAATAACATAGTTGAATCACCACATGCTCAAACAGTGCTTGAGAGCCCTTCTGACAACTATAATTCAAGGGTGTCTCATTTAGCTTCCTTACTTTCATCATTACGTACAAAATACAACATTACTGACATATCCAGAAATAGCATGAGGGAAGATGATCGATTGCCTACGAGCACTCTTTGGATTAACATTTCAAACATGAGGTCCCCATTCCTTGCAGATGATGAGCTAATGGCCGTTTGTGATCTTGCTATTGGCAGTTTTGGGTCCATTGTTAGGTTGACACGAACAAATATGCATATGGGTTCTTCTTGGTTTGTTGAATGCAGCAGCTTAGATGCTGCAAATGCTCTTTTGAAGAATCTTCGGGGTTGTCCTATGTCTTTCTTCCAGATAGAATTCAGGTTTGAATTGATATTTGTTTCTTAAATTTTGTTTGCTTATGTTTTTATTCTCTGTCTCGTTATAAATTCATGATGTATACTAGTTTACATGCCCCTAGTTGCTTTGATTGACTGATAGTACTTTGTCCATAATTTACATTGCCATAGAGTGGAGTCTCCACTATTCATGACAAAAACACAATGATCAATATGAATCCAGGCAACTCAAATTTGAAATGCTTGTGCTGGAATTATTTGTCATGTGAATAAAAATTGCCTTGGACCCTCGTAATTATGTATTTCTAATTTTGTCCAAATCTCATTTTTTGTTGCACGTATTCTTCCTAGAATCCTTGACTTCATATCTAAGAAGCACGGACACTTCTAAGTACGGGTGAGCATTGACTAGGCTGTGTTTGGTTCGGGCGAAGCTTTCACTACTTAATAAGAGGCCTTGTCTCTACCCAAGCCTGGCCTGGCCTGAATATCGGGCCTATATGGTCATCCCAAGCCCAACCTTAAAGAAAATATATTTCCCAAGTCCACCCATCTGACTGTTATTGGTGGAGCCTGAAACAAGAGTGAACCTAATCAGATTAGGAAAAGGAGACTAGGAAATTAGTGTTTGGTTAGATTTGGATTCTAAACTATTTCCTTGTTGGTTATGGTTTTTACTTTGTAGATTAGGTTTTGGTTTCCTTATTAATTTAGGATTGGGTTTAAGACTAGCTCTATAAATACACTCATGTAGCTCTATATTATTGATTCATTAGTTTTGTGATCTTAGAGAGAGATTCACAATAGTGAGATTGAGATAGATCATTGTAGAGAGAGAGAGAGAGAGAGAGTTTGTGAGATTGTGAGACTCTTGTAACTCCTTTCATATTGATCTGGTAAAATCCGTTGCGACTCCATGGACGTAGCCCGTTATTTGGGTGAATCATGTAAATCTCGTGTTGCTTTGGTGAGTTTGATTTTCTATTCTTTTATTTCTCCGTTCTAGATTTGTTGTGTGCGTGATTATTTGCTCAGGTCTTAGAGTTTGGTATTAATCATATATACCATAACACGGGCCTCTATATATATATGGGTTGTTTTTAAAAAATAAAATTCAAGCATATTAATTTCTAAAAAAATGCTTTAAAAGCTATTCAAACATTCCCAACATAAAAAAAAAAATCAGGCAAATTATAGTTTTGCGTTAATTTAAAAAATTCATTGGCATAGACCGTTAGTGTTGTAGGGGCAAAAGATAAGCATCCATAGTTAATGATAATCATCCACAGTTCAAGTCAAAGTTCTTCAAATAATGTTTCATTAATAACTTTCTTATTTATGATGCAAAATACAGAGAGTTAAACTCCAAAATATAGTCATTAAATAATATCCACAATCATTAATTGATGACAATGGTTTGGTGAGTCATGGTGGCTTTGTTGGTGGGATTTGCAAAACAAGGGACTCAATAGAAATCTTGAGTTGGAGGCACAAGCAAAGCTATAACCTCTGTTGAAGGTGAGGAATAAAAGTGAAAACCTAGACACTCATGATCATATATTTTCCTAAATAAAATAAAACAAAATAAAATATGTAAATATATTATTTTTGGGCTAGTCCGGGATACAGACATGAATCCCAAGCCCATCCCATTTATTAAACTGGCCTAAAATATTTGTTCAGCCCATCCCTATGGGCCAAAATACCCTTCCCAAGCCCTAAAAATATAGGCTTACGAAGGTCAGTGTTAGTGTTGGACATGTGTCCATTTTTCTTTTACCCATGTTCTTAATTAAAAAAAAAAAAAAATCTTAATTTCAAACATGTGTTTGACACTCATTTTGCGACATGTTCGTCATTTCATGGCCATGTCTATCAATAAAACATAAACATGTGACCAACACTTTTTGATTAGTTGTTAACAAGTGATTTTCAAAATTTGAGAATTTGAAATAAATATCTTATATCCTTAAAAAATGTACAATTATTAAGAATAATTATATAGAAGTTTCATATAAAATTAAATGCAAAATGAAAAAGATATGTACATGTATCAGCAGATGGCTAAGAAGCATGAGGAAAAGGTTGCAATTATATATGTTTGCTACAATCTAAAAATTCATGTAAGAGAAAGCTAAGGAAAATGAGGATATCGGTTTTAAACTATATTATAGTGGTAAGGATAGACACAGGAATAGGGTAGGAATCATAGTTGTCAAGGGTCTTGTAGAAAATGTAGTGGTGGTCATTAGGAAAGGGGATAGGATTATGTTAGTTAAACCAGTTATTGGAGGGAATATAGTGAACGTTATTAGTGCATACGCCCCTCAAGTAGGATTAGATGATCAGACTAAGAGGGATTTTTGGGAGCGAATGGATGAGATCTTACGGGAGATACCTGTAGGAGTGAACCTAGTTATAGGTGGAGATTTCAATGGCCATGTAGGCATAGATAAACTAGGCTATGAAAGGGTGCATGGTGGATACAGGTTTGGTGATAGAAATGAGGCTGGAGAGAGTATCTTAGATTTTGTATTGGCATTTGACCTGGTGGTGGCCAATACTATGTATAAGAAGAGGGAGGAACATTTGAGAACCTTTAAGAGTGTGTTAGTTAAGAGTCAAATAGATTACTTTTTAGTGAGAAAAGTGGACCGTCTAAAATGCAGTGATTGTAAGGTGATTTCTGGAGAGAGCCTGGCCTCTCAACATAGGATTTTAATATTGATTTATGTTTTAGTGGGCAATACTAAGCGAGGAAGGATGGTGGGCATCGTAAGACGAGCTGGTGGGCCCTAAAAGTGGATAAACTAGAAATATTTAAAAATAGAATGGATAAGGAAGGTGCTTGGGACTTGGAAGATCATGCTAAAACTATGTAGAACTCGATGATGAGTTGTATGAGGAAAATCTCAAGGGAAGTGCTTGGAGAGTAGAAAGGAACGGGACCCAGCTTTAGAGAAACTTAGTGGTGGTGGGAAAAGGTTCAAGTGGTAGTTAAGGCAAAAAAAAAATGTGCTTTAAAAAGTTACAGAAGGATAGAACTAAGGAAAACCTTAAGAGGTATACATTGGCTAATAAGGAGGTTAAGAAAGTAGTGAGAGTGGCTAAGTTGAAAGTTTATGATGACCTATACACTAGATTAGATAGTAAGGAGGGAGAGATGAGGGTATACAAACTTGCTAAGATATGTGAGAGAAAAACAAGAGATTTTAATCAAGTTAAGTGCATCAAGAGTGAGGATCCGAAAGTATTGGTGAAGGATGAAAAGATTAAGGAGAGATGAAAGAACTATTTTGAGAAATTATTAAATGAGGAACATGGAGGTACGTCAATAGGGGAAGAAATAGCCAGTGATACAATAAATCAAGACTATAGGTTGATCGCAAGATTAGAAACTTTGAAGTGAAGATCGCACTTAAGAAGATGAAATCAAATAAGGCTTTAGTACCCGATGATATTCCTATTGAAGTTTAGAAATGTTTGGGTAAAAAGGGGGGCGGTTGACTAGGTTGTTTAGCAAAATTTTGTGGACTAAGAACATGCCAAATGAGTGGAGGAAGAGTATTTTAGTGCCAATCTATAAGAATAAAGGAGATGTCTAGAATTGCAACAACTTTAGAGGAATAAAGCTAATGCGTCATATAATGAAAGTGTGGGAGAGGGTGATGGAACGCCGATTATGAGATATTACAGAAGTGTCTGAGAGTCAATTTGGGTTTATGTCTGGCAAGTCAACAATGGAAACGATCTATCTGTTGAGAAAAGTAATAGAAAAGTATAGAGACATTCATATGGTGTTTATCGATATTGAGAAAGCATATGATAGAGTGCCTCGGCATATAATATGGTGGGTGTTAGAGAAGAAAGGGGTGACAAAAGGTTACATTGATGTGATTAGGGACATGTATGAAGGGCTGGTGACTACTATTAGATTGCCTGCTGGACAGACAAATGAATTTCTTACCACTGTAGGGTTACACCAAGGATCTATCTTAAGTCCTTATCTTTTTGTGTTAGTTATGGATGAGTTGAGGAGAAATATTCAGGATGACGTGCCATGGTGTATGCTTTTTGCAAGTGATATAGTGTTAGTGGATGAGATTAGAGAAGGAGTTAATACAAAGTTGGAGATTTAGAGAAAAACACTTGAATCTAAAGGATTCTAGATAAGCAGAATTAAGACAGAGTACATGGAGTGTAAATTTAGTAACAGTAACAATGAAGGCAGAGGAGAAGTGAAGATTGAGAACTAAGAACTGCCTAAAAGTGAATATTTTCGTTATTTAGAGTCGATTATCACAACGGCGGAGGAGATTGATGCAGTTGTGGCCCATAGGATTAAGGCGGGATGACTTAAGTGGAGATGTGCGTCTGGGGAACTATGCGATAAATGAATACCCACTAGATTAAAATGTAAGTTCTATAAAGCGGCTATTAGACCAGTGATATTGTATGGGATAATGGGACAGATTGTTGGGCAACCAAGAAACAACATGTAGATAAGATTAGTGTTGTTGAGATGAGGATGTGTGGCAAAACTAGACAAGACAGAATTAGGAATGAGTGTATTCGGGAATGGATAGGAGTGGTATCGATAGAAGATAAGTTGAGAGAGAATCGATTGAGATGGTTTGGTCATATTCAACGGAGACCAATAGATGCAATAATAAAGAGATGCGATGCAGTGACGATAGCTGGAAGTGGTAGGAGACCGGGTAAGCCTAGATTAACGTTGGCTAGCGTTGTAAATAGAGATATGGATCTACTTAATTTGACTAACAAAATGGCCTTTGATAGAGTCGTGTGGAGAAGAAGCATTCATGAGCCGACCCCATTTGATGGGACTTAAGGCTTGGTTTGGTTTGGTTTGGTTTGGTATATATTATGCACACATATAACTATATAATATAAACTATTCTTAGATAATATATATCATGATATAATTATTTGTGGCGTGTTTGAAAACTGTGTTCATGTCCTTTTTTTGGAATTTTTCGTGTGGATGTGTCCATGTCGTGCCATGTTGTAACCTTGTTCCATGTCCGTTTTTGTGTTGCATAACTTCAGATGTTTCTCAGCTGGGGTTGAGCTAGGATGATTTTAGAACAAGGGTTAGGATTACACAATGAACTAAAATATTATATACCCAGTACCCGGTACGAATACCGTAATACGGCAACATTTTTGGAATATCCGTGCTTCATAGGCTATAGCTATAGCACATAAGAGGCAATTGTTCAGTATCAAATTGTGTAGTTCCTCCCCCTATATGTGTAAACATAGTTTGTCACACATTTTTTCTGTAAGAAATGGCCCCTGCCTGCCCACCCAAGCCTCTTCCACTGTTGTTTTGCATTCTATCGGGCCTTCAGACTGTGGTAATTTACATACTATTTTAATTGCCCATGGACTGAGGAAAAGAAAATTTATTTGCATGCTTTGTCTCAATCTATAGTGATGAATTTGGATTCAAATTTTAATCTAATTGTTCTATTTATGTTTTGTATATTCTTCAGTTTTTCAATTAAATGGATTTAGGTAATACCATGTTTCACCTTGCTTTATCTTGTTTTGTTGTTTTACCTTATATATATTTGGGAAAAATTCATTTTACTCCCTTGTGATTTGGGCATGGAGCACTATACCTCCCTTTCGTTTAAAAATAGCCATAAACACCTCCTGGAATATTTGACTAAGTTGCAATTCCATTAATATTAGCTTTAAAAAGATCATTATACCCTTACTAAAATATATAGGTCTGCGGCCCCTGTTATTCATTACATTGTCTTTCTTGTTTTGTTTTGGTCAGATTCTCTCACTTTCCAACATTACCGATTTATATTTCTCAACATTCACAAATAGCTATAACAGGACTTGTCAAAAAGTTAGGTGGTTTAATACCAAACATAATAATAAAAAAATACCAAAATTTTATTTTGTTTTAAGAAAGGATGGATTATCAAAAAATAAAAAGAAAAAGAAAAAGAAAAAATTATTAAAGAGGTTTTCAAATGACAATTATTATGAAAAAAAAAATGAAAATTGTTGGTGCTTACACCATTTTTTACAATACAAATATATTCTAATACAAGGATTTAGGCCCCTACCTTGCGCTGGATTTACTCAGGCATCATTAGTTTAGTTGGTAGTTCGTACAAAAGTTCAACAATATTTGTTTTCTTTTAATTTGTGAAATTGGTTTTTTCTTTCTTCTTAAAAAGAAATTTCGATTATTTCTTGGAAGGTTGAAAAAGAGTTTGCTCTGTTTTTACATTCTGAATCTTGATTACATAAAGAATAAGCAGATATATGTCACCTAAGTAAATCATTAATATTGTCTTCACAATGTTTGAAAGTAAATCAAATAATTAAGCAAAAATAGATTAAAATTAATCAAACAAAAATTAAGCAAGCAATGTGTATTTTTAGCTCAACTGATTGTTCTTCCTTTCTTTATACTTTTCCCAATCCTTTTGCTTGCATTGGCTTATATATTGACTAGAAGGGCATCAATATCTTTTTGTCACACCATTTTTATAAGGAAAACATGATTTTTGGCGCGTGATTGCACGTTCTGTCATTCTTAGTGCTTTCTATTTCACAAGAATAGAAGCCTTTCTTTTCTTGAGTTGCGGCAGTCGAGCACTATATATCCACGTTCTCCTTCCCTGTTCCATGCTTCTGCTCTTTACGAAAGGGAGAGTTGAGTGGTGCACCATTTTCTTCATTCAAATCACAAATCAAAATAAGCTATGGCAGGCCCTAATCCAACTTGAAACGAAAAAAAGAAAATTTGACTTGGTCTCCTATCATCATTTCGCTTTGGCACCAAACCCTACATGTTCTTCAAGCCTGAAGGGATCTTGCTATCATGAAAAGGCCACCTATTACCAATTTTTCGTATTTGCCTCTTAACGTTTAGTGAATCTCTAAGGGGCGTAATTAATCCAATTGAAACTGCTTTGACATTGGCACATTTGATTTCTTCTTTTCCAAAAGTGTGTCCAAGTCCTCTTTGGTATGCCCTAGTTTTTTTATTCTCAGTTTGGATGGAAAATCTTACTGCTGCAACTTAGTTCAAAACCACATGAGGAGTTTTTGGCTATTTTACTATGATAGGGGGGGTTAAAGTTCTAGAAGCCCAAACTGCAAGAAGGTCTATTGGATTTTTCCCTATATATTAAAGCCCTGTTTGGGCTGCTCGAATGTAACTGGTTCTCTAGGCATTGAATATGGTAAAATGTGTTTGCACACATGGTTAAAATGCAGAAATATGTATTAATGAAAAAGCTTCCAAAACAAAAACTAGGTTTTTGCAGAAATGTGGATTCCCAGTTGCTGTTTTAAATTTGCTACCCGTTGTTTTCTTACCTAATTAATCATACTCCAACCATTCCCTTTCTCTCTCTATTTATCAAAAAAAAAAAAAAAAAAAAACATTACATTTCTCTCTCACCCTCTCACACCAGGCAGGAGCAGTTCATCTGGCCATTGGCCATGGCTGACCTCACGTCCAGCAGCTATGTCACTTTTTTTCTTGTCCTTCTGTGATAAATTTATATGGTTTTTACTTATCAAAGAAAAAATTGTGGTTTGAATTGGTTTTACGGCCCTTTATATGAACCTATGAGAAAAGTTTACTCTTGGAACAGTGGGAGTTGAACCCAAGACATATAACTTGGCCATGTTCCTTGTCAAGAAGATTAGTTATTGCATGCTTATATTAACAAGCATCACGGGCAGGTGTTCTTCTGTGTCATGTGCCGAATATAAATTTCATTATTTAATGCTATGCTATGTTTGAATCTAAGATTTATTGAGAAAAAAGAAATGAAAATAGCTTTTCTCCTTTATTTTTCTTGTCACTTTTTTTCCTTTCCGTTTTCCTTTCTTTCGAAAAATCCTAGAACTATAAATATTTATACCACATGCTTGAACATGCAAAACAAATTTTTATATAAAACATGCAATTAACAATAAAGTTATGAAGAAAGAGTATAAAATATGTGCATGTTTAGATGTTTAGGGTTATATAGGATGCTCTTATGGATATTTTCATAATATTTATTATATAACATGCTTGCTAAAGCCTACTCTTTAGGTCTGTATGTTCCAATTTTTTTTTTAGCAACAACAATGATTTTTTAATGTCATCGAAGTTTAGCGTGACCAAACTGATTGATATTATAACGGTACATTGACATTTCAACATTCCTACATTCCTACTCACTCATTTAGTATTATAGGCATACAGACAGACAATTACTTTTGGTGGCTAATTGCAAATTTTAATACATTTTCTGAACACCAATTATCTGTTTAGTCTTCCATAATATACTCTAAAGTCACCTTTTTACATAAGCTATAGCTATCCCAATAGGGCACCAAGCTCAGAATGGCTTTCAGGCCTTTCTTTACCTTTCTTATATCCGACTTTGAATTTATACGACTTCCACAGAAATTGTTTCAGATAATTAGGATATATTGTTGATGTATTTCCTACTTTAACTCACGTTTTGTGATTGGATATGGAATACTGCTTGGCACCTAGTCCAAAATGGCTTTCAGGCCTTCCTTTTCCCTTCTTATATCAACTTCCACAGCAACTTTGAATATGGAATTCAAATGGATTAAATAGGAAAGGATACTATGAATAATAGAATTATAATGAAATTTACAGTCAACCAACATTCATCAAATTTGAAAAAGAGTCCAAAAAATGGTTCGATCTTATTTATATTTATTTCTCGAAGAAATTGTTTCAGATAATTAGGATATATTGTTGACGTGTTTCCTACTTTAGTTCATGTTTTATGACTGGATATGGAATACTGCTTGGTTACTCATGCCGCCTTCACCATGTTGTTCTCTTTACATTTCTCAGAACCCTTGGTGTTTAGATATACAACAGGAGAGATTTTTTTTAATTAATTTTTTTTGACTTAGATACAATAAGAGACTTGAACTCGGTAATAGACCTATGAAATTCTGCTAACCTTAGCTCTTGAATGTATTCACAATTTTGTTATTCGTCTTCATATTTCACAAGAAGCTTTCCACCTTTTCCTTGAACAGTCAATCTGGGAAGCACCAAACTGTTCCTTTCACAGTAAAACCTGAGAGCAGTGCTCCAGACCTTGCAACACCCAGAGTAACTCCAGAAAACCATGGAACCACAATACAAAGTGGGCATACATTTCAGTCAAACTGGACTGCTTTTGATTGTGCAGGAACACCTGAAGTCGGGGCAAGAAAAGTCGATGGATATGACAATAATGCAATTGTAAATCCTTTAAATGGAGGTGATGTTCTGTGAACTTAGATATGAATTTGTTCTATCAGTAAAGATTTAACTAGTTCTTTCTTTCTGCTGAATGAGTTGCATTCTAATGGCTTTTAGTTTTTCCAATTGAGTTTCCAGGTGGTCATGTTGTTTCTGGCACAACTGATCAGACATGGATGTCGAAAAAACCTGAACTTGAGCTGCATTCTGCACCAGGGAACATTCCATGCATACCCACACCAGCTCAGCCACCTGCTCTGCCACCACCACAGCCATTTCAATCATATCCATTCATGAGACCTATGTATTTTCCTCCAAACAGTTCCTGGGATGCACGCGGTAGCCATCATCTGCCTTTGAACCCAATCTCGTCAGGTGTAGTACCTAATAATCCTCACTTTCATCCTGTTGCAGCCCCGTTTCTACCTGCTTCTGTTACTCCCCTTGCACAAATGCAGGGAAGCTCACTGCAGCACTCCAGCCAGATGTTTCCCCTGCCTGTTGTGCCACCCCCTGTAGCAACCCTACCACCTCCTCAGCCTGACATGCTACCTCCATTACCTCCAACCCCACCTCCCTTGCCTCATTCTCTGCCACCTCTGCTTCCACCACCTCCTAGTTCTCCCCCTCCAGCTCCAGCTCCAGCTCCAGCTGTGGAATCTTCCCATTTGGAAAGTTCTGGACAGTATTTGCAATATCAGTGGCAGGGCACATTGTGTAAAAGTGGGGTTCATTATTGTACAATTTATGCACATAGAGTGGACTCTGATGCTTGCAAGTACTCGAATGCCATTTCTGAGCCTGCGGAGTAATGATTTCATCTTTATTTTGTCTTTGTAAATGACTGGGTGGAGACTAGTCTCTGATAATTTCTTTGACTGACATTTATGCAGATGGCCTTTGAAATTAGATATGACAAAGCGCACGGATTTTCGGCATGTGAAATCAACATTTTCCAGTACCCCACCATATAAAGTGAGTCTCTCTCTCTCTCTCTCTTTGAGGTTTTCTCATATTAAGTTCTATCTTTCTGCAAGTGAAGTTTATGCAATCAGTTATATAACCCAATTAAAGCTGCTAACTTTCATTATTGATACCATATTGAATATTCCGGTGCAACATCCAGTAATGCTTGGTGCCATGTTCTTTAGTAGCTAGTTCCAGATTTTCAATGATGAATATACTTTTACTGTAAATAAATTTTGTGACATTGTATATTGGTGAGCTACATATTTGTCCATTTTAATAGAAGATTGCTTAATAATATATCTTCCATAAGTGTACAACTAGTGATAGCATTACACGATCTCATATTGGTTGATCAATTGATTTTGTGATTTAAAAAGAAGATTGATTAGTTATATTTCTTGACACAAGTATGCGACCTGTGACAGTACTTCACTTATCTGATATTGCACAATCGTTGATTTCCTGGTTGGCATTTAATATTGATTAGAGATTCTATGGTTCAGAATTGTATTTGGGGTGGCACATCTTATGGCATTATTGTTAATGTTAGGACCTTTGTTTCCATTGCCTCACCCTGTGTTCATTTTTAGGGTAATTTTAACTTTTCTAGGTTGGCTTTAAAATAGAGTGTCATCTTGTGTATATTAAATTAAAGTACCAATTCCCTCATAGGAACCTGAGCTCAAAGAACTGGACCATAGAGTGTAAGCTAACCTTGTTGGTACATCTATAGGTATAAAACATTTAACGTATTCTACAGAAGCCTTTAATATTTATGGGCTCGCATTTTTATTTTCATTTATTATGGGCTATTCTCAACTTTTTGCCATGAACGCTCAACTAATTAATATTTTAGGTTAGTGTCCCTCTTCTCCCCTGTACATAAATCCATGGTGAAGTGTTATTTCTCAAAATTATGGAATTATACCCACTTTTTCCATTATATTTTTTTGTAGCCTAATTTGGTTACTTATAATTTTGCTTGTATAAATTATTTACAAATACGTGGGATCCAAAGGTTAGGTCTATCTCCACCCGTACGCCTCCCATCCTCAACCAATGGGAACCAATACCTATTTGAAATCCAATATTTTTATAATTTACCTTTGAATTGCCAAAATTATAAAACAGGGGGGAAAAAAATTTCATGTGCATTCATGGTTGTTAGAATCTTACGATTTATGATTAAATTCATACAATTCGTAATGAAATCCAAATGCTAAATCAAGATTAAATTGAGAGAGAGAAGGCAAATGCCCTAATTAGGGGTAAAACTGCTAAGGGTTAGAGAGAAACTAATCTCTGCTCCAATTACAATGTATATTTTTTATTCCAAAACTAAGTATAATGGATGTTACATCACCTATTTATGTACTGCAACTAATAAGCTATTTAACAAACACTTAGTCTATTTATTATACCACATCATACTCTCCCTCTTTAAGAAACTTGTCCTCAAGTTTAAGTAGCAACTGAGTAAACTCATTGTAATTCTACTCATGTAACCATATGTAAGGAATAGGTGCTGTATTTCCTTACTCAAGAACAAACATGATTCTCTCAACTTAGCCGTCTGCAAATACATTGAACTTCATCCTTGCATCCTTGGCTCAACAACCATAGGTGTGTTCATGTCCTCCCACTACAAAAACTCGGATAGACCTCCATTTCCAAACCTCTTCACCTCTAACCTGCATACTCATGCAGAAGAGTACTCAATCTGTTGGAATGAGACTAATGATTGGCGAATGACATCTTCCAAAGCAAAGCTGAGAATATTGACACAATGATAGGATGGATGATGCATCCACTAAGCAAAACCATGAGAGTAGTTGATCATGAGCTGGAATTCGACATTGAACGCGTTCTTTCCTTCCTCCCTTGGCACAAATGTGAATTGAGCACACAAGAAGCAACCTACTCAACTCAAAACAACTTTGTAGAGGTATGAAAGAGTCCTAACGATAAACTTCAAATAATTTCTTTGAAGTTGTCAAAAATTTCAGTGGCGGCTTGCAATGCGACAAGTCGTCTACTCATTTGTTTCAACTCATCTCTTTGATTATGAATTTGGTTAGCATCAGTACTCCTTCCAATTGAGAAATTCATCTCGGTTTCTTAACTGAAAATTTGCTGCGTAAGATCTACCATACCCTTCCTGTCGACTGCTACCTCGATGAGTCATGGACACAAAACAGCCCAATTTTCATGATCGCAGTAATATGAGATCAGTTGAGCACTCCTCAACAGTCCCAGCTTAAACAACCAATTTCACACACTCCAGTGAAGCCACACATAATTATTACAACCTTTCAAGGTGAACCCAAAGAAGAATGGACCAGTAACAAAGGTTGAGTTCCAGCCAACAATCAAGAATGTAGAACTCAGATTTCCAAAGTCTAATCAAGGATCACCAACCCAAGTCAACCAACAGTTCAAGAATAATAATGGAACAATTCAAACAGTTCAGTGTTGAACAGTTCAATCAATTCAAGAACATACTATAAGCAAACGATCCCAATCGGATCCCAATCCCAGATACAGATCCCCCAAATCATAGTATAAGAATTTCAAAACTTGCTCCAAATCAAGAAATTGAGAATTTGTAAACTGAAATCAATTCGAAGTTGAATGAGTTCAAGGTCAAACCGAGAGCTCCAGGTTTGAAATTCAGGGACGAACATGAACTGAAATTGAATCAACCTTTAAGCATGGAAAACCCAAATCAGCGAAGAACTCAGAGTTTGAGATCACAAACTGAAATCGCGATGATGAATCTTGGGCCTTATTGTGGATCGATCTCAGTTCTGGAGTGAAATCAAGTTTCGCAACTTCGAATCAGAAGTGAAATATTATTGCAACTCAAAATCAAGTGCAACTTCAAATCAAAAGTGTTAGGGTTCAACTTCAAGTCAGATTGTGATCTTGTTCCAGGGAAGATCAACTTGCATGTGGGCTACGACTCTAAATCTAGGTTGAATCAGAATGGAACATTAGCGAAAGCATAGGTTCAAATCTCGAGTGGCTAGGGTGTATTGTGAATGCGAACTCAGATCGCGATTGGATGAGCTTGATTGTGAACTCAGATCACAACTAACTAGGCTTCGATGAACTAGATGTTGGCTGGCCAGAGTCATTGCAAACTGGAATCTCACTCCCATGAACTCAATTATGAGATGTGATTCAAGATTGTGAAGACACATCCAAGGTTAGCGTTTCCTGGATCAATGTACGATCACCAAGGACTGTTCAAAAAAATACAACTCTGCTGCAAATAGAGATTAGATTTCGAGAATTAAACTAATATTTGAAAGAGTTTAGGCACAGAATCTTAGGCTCTGATACCAAATAATGAAGTCCAAATGCCAAATCAAGATCAAGTTGAGAGATAGAAGACAAATGCCCCAATTAGGGGTAAAATCCGCAAGGGCTAGAGAGAGAAACTAAGCTCTACTCCAATTACAATGCATATTCTTTATTCCAAAACTAAGTACAATGGGTATTACATCACCTATTTATATACTACAACTAATAAGCTATTTAACAAATACTTAGTTTATCTATTTAACAAACACTTGGTCTATTTATTATACTACATCAATTCGATATGAGTTTCAACCAAAGTGATTCTTTTCACTCTGTTGAATATTAAATTGAGTGAAGCTTACAATTCAATTGTGATTCACTACGATTTGCTACAATTCACTATGAATCATTTTTGTTTGCATAACGCATGAGCCGGCGTCATTTTTGAAAGATAAAAAATGATGTGAATTAATTATAGTACATGGTTTCATATGTATATACATATATACAATTTAGTTATATTGATATTTATTTCATTTTAAGTATTGTGTATTTTTATATGTATATACAGATATAAAATTATAAATTATGCTAAATAAAATGAATTCTACGATTCATAATACGATATGATTCATGATTCTCTATTTTAGCTAAACAATTCACGATTTGGTTTGTGATTTAACAACATTGTGTCCATGTGGTATGGTCCCAGTGAGCACTTCACCTCCCATTTGAAAATAGCCAAATACCACTCATGTGGTTTTGGACCAAAGTATAACCCTCTATTAATGGATAAGCTGAATTTACAATATTACCCTCTTGTTAAAAATAAGTTTTAAAAAGTTCAAATTTATTTTTAAACCACTAACTCTGTGAGTCGACTCACTGGAAACCATCACAAGACCACCTCATCTCCCTCTTCCTCATTCCCACACAACACCACTAACACGTCATACATCACTGCCACACAACACCACCACCATATCATTCAACACCACATATATATATCTTCAGTTTATTGGAACGTGTGCACAACATATACATTTACACATCAGCCAACATGAAGTTGATCTTGAGGTGGGGGATGAGAGTTGGCAGGCAAATCTTCTTGGCACTTTCAGGTGAATGGAGTTTGCATGTATTTCTTTTTCATATTTATAACTCATCCATCTGACTGACTCTTCCTTTTTTAATATCAGCCTGTGTTTTATCAGCATTCAGGTTTACCATCGTGGAGGCCAAGACCTATGGCTTTCCAAGATTTTGTCACTTGCCATGGTGGTCCTGCAAAGATTATTGAGGATTGCTGTATGGCGAGGTAGGTGGGAGAGATGGTGGGGGAGGTGGCAAGTGGGGTGTCGGGACGGTGGTGGTTAGGGTTTAGTTAGGTAGAAGATGAAAACAACGGAATCTTATTTTTTTCACATTGGAATTCTACTTTGACTGAAAAAAAAAAAAAAAAAAACAAAAAATTGAAAAAAAAAATCCCTTTTCCTGCTTTCCTTTTTTCTCTTTTTTTACCCCCCCTTTTTTTTATAATTATAAATGAAAAAATGTAATAGTGGGTGTACCTGGTGACCACCTTGATTGATGAGGTTAGGTTGAGCATTTCTCAATGAGTTAACCAATTTAGTGATCAAATATACTGTCCCAATAACAGCATATGCCTTTCCTCCCCTCTTTCATTACAAGTTTTCAGTCCTTGGAATTTTTACTGACCTTTGTTTCCAAATATTCTTATATTTTTTAGATACTTTCTAAAGTCCAAATTATGCATAGTGGTGAGTGATTGCCAAATTTGTTGTTGTCTGAGTAACTTTGAACGTCATACAACTGAATTGCCATCTTGATAGAGAGGTGTAATTAGATCATCAAAGGTCATCTCCGGACACCATTTGCTAGCCCTTTTGTTTGTATTATACACTAATGGTAGGGAGTTTATTTCTGTGTACTTCCAAATTGTCATAGTTTCATAGCTTTAATCTAAAGTTTAAATGAGAAGAGTTCACAAGTGTTCATTGAGTGGTCTTTGCATTATTATTTTATGTAGAAATTTAATGTATAAAGAGAAATAGAGAATTGTATTATTGATTGAGTTCACAAGTGTTCATTGAGTGGTCTTTGCATTATTATTTTATTTATTCTCTTTATTACTTGGTCAGCATTATGTAGAAGTTAGAAATTTTAAGAGTTGAGATATTTCTTAGCTTTTCAAGTTGGTTTGAGTTGACAATGACGTTGTCTTTGAATGTGATATCTCACGGTTCTGGCATGTCATGCAGAGAGAAGTGTGCGTGCTGTTCCCCTCATCTGAAAGTGACCGTAAAGGCGTAAGTTATTGCATCTTTTTATTTTGGTAATTACTCTGTAATTATACTTCATGAAAAAGTGTTTTGAGTTGTTCATTAAATCACCAGATGAGCATTGGAAAACTCAAACCATTCTATCTCGATTTCTTTTGGCCTCAATAAGCATCTTATATATTAAAGTAGTGTTTACCCTTAAAATTTCTCTTATGTTTTACTTACTTGGCGTTGTCTATAGTCTTATATTTTTAAAATACCACACCATAAGGGTTACAAAAAATTATCAAATTAATTTTTTTATTTATATAAAATTTAATACAATATAGCCAATCACAAAGAATACTACATCAATTAATCTAGCAATTTTTTTCCTAATCCAATCATCTATTAATTAAAATCATTTATTTTTATTAATAGGTTCTCAAATTGACACATTCTTTGTATATTTGATTTTTGCTTGTAAATTTATTTTATTAATAAGTTAATAAATATTTTTAATATTATATAAAGTTATCGTATATAGTTATTTAAGTTACATTTTCATTAACACATTGCCTAAGTTTTTCTTTCGAATTATATGTTAAAAATATTTTTCATTTTAACTTTTTAAAATATTTTTTTTATAGTTGTACTTTTCGAATATATTTAATTGCATATAAATTAAGAAATCATATTAAATAATTAAAATTACTTTTTAATTATTAATTATCCCTTTAATTTGTTAATTATCTCCACTATCAAAGCGAGTGTTTACTTTACTATGCTATAATTTAACATCATATATATATTTATTTAATGTACACTTTTATAGTACGATAGGTCTAATATTATTTTTCAACATTATATGCATCACAATAAACTTTTTAAAATAATTTTTTATGTTTGTACACAGACATACATATAAATAATTAGGTTAGTTACACCAAGATCCCCTCATCTATCAAAAAATATCAATTTACTCCCTTGTCTGTGAACTTGTTCATATTGATCCCTTCAACTATAAAAATCATATAAATGCATCCTTGCTGAAGGTGATCTAGAGGGGTTGAAAGTGATACATTTTCATAATTGGTGAAAATGTATGGGTTTATAGATGAATGGGTAAAAAATATATGGGTTCATAAATGAGGAAGTTGATATTTGCAAATATTTGAGGGGTAACTAAAATCATCATGTATACTCATTTAATTTACATTTTTATAGCACGATAGGACTAAAATTATTTTTATACATTGCATACCTCGCAACATGATTTTTTTTTAAAAAAATTATAATTTATAACTTAACTAAAACTATTACATATGTTTATATAAATTACATTTTTATAGCATGAACGAAGTACTAAGATTATTCTCATAGTATTGTATACATCACGGCCGAGAAAAAATTCAGACATGGGTTGTATTGATTCTCTAATGTTTGAACCCTAGCGAGTTTTATCCAAACTAAATAAAACAGCTCACAAAAAAAAAAAAAAAAAAAAAATATCCATCTCACGGTTAACTGGTAGTTTGAAAACAAAAAAGAAACAAAAGCAAATAAGCAGTACTGAAAGGGTGTTTATTAAAATATACCATTAATAAATTGTTATAGTTTCGACCTGAATTCAGTTACGTGGATGGACATGATATGATTTTAAATGTCGGAAAAATATATAGGCTCACCATCCTAGCATAACGAAGCTCATGATATATTAATACATTGGGTATTTATTAGTCTTGGTGGTAGGATGTATTTGTATATATATATTTTTTTTAATGATTTGAAGATCTACTTATTTAACAATCATAATTCGTATATTGCCTAGGTAATGATTGCAAGTTGGTAGTCAGCTTTGCTAGCACATGTCAAAGACCTTAAAGATGAACTTTAGTCAGTCAATGATCCAGTGTCTCTGTTCTTTCTAAAACATAGTTGTGGTTGATTTTTGATGTTGCAAAACTTTTGCAGTTTCAGGATTTCATATCATATTTGAAGCAGAGGGAATGTGCTGGCGTTATTAAGATCCCAGCTGCCAAATCCATGTGGGCAAGACTTCTCTTCATTCTCCCTTATTCAGTTGATGTGTGTTCCATGCTGTCTATTGCTCCTAATCCATCAGATTGCCTAATTGCTTTAATTTTGCCTAAAGAGATGAACTTTGAGTGGGTATGATCTTCCTAGTCTATGATAGGGAAGAATAGAGTGGGGAAGGGTGCCAATTCTTACGCACTATGAGGTTGATGTTTCTCGCACCTTCAGATTTCCATAGTGACTTCAGTAAAGAAGGCCTATTATATGCATCACTGATAAAATCAACTTCGGCAATGCTGATCTGATCTAATGATGTGAGAAGACAATGCCGTGCCTTTTCAAATTTGAATGTACTTTGGCATCAGTGCAAGAGAGACTCACTTTCTTGAGAAACAACGATGATATATATATTCAGCTTCTCATATCCGACATTGTACAGAACATTTTTCCTCGGGCTTTTTGGTTGAATTTAAGGGAGATATAAATTAGTTGTGAGATACACTTTAAAAATACTCAAATTTCAACCATCAGGTTTGTCTCTGGGTGGGCGCAAAGTTGAGCTGGAATCAATGAAAGAATGATTTGAATTTCCATGTTTTCATTTTTTTTTTGCTTTGTTGATTGTTATTTTTATGTTTTCAGGCGGATGATTACTTTTGAGTTTTCCACATTGGAGTGGATACCAAGCCATAGGTTTTATTGGCATTTTGGGAAAAACTCGGATTACATTGGGATTGAGAAACTGAGTTGAGCGTCGGTACGTAATCAATTAGTCTAGTTAAAGATGGTAGTTAGTCACTGGATAATGTTGTATTTGAAAGGGATCATCGAATGGTATTGAAATTGTGCTGACTAATAGAATTGTTCCTTCAGTTGTGTGTGTGTGTGTTCATCTTCCATCATAATTCTTTTTTTTGCTCTTCCTTAACTTCAGTTTTCAGGTTCTGTTCTTTCATATTACAGAATATATGTTCAAATTTGTATCAAGATGCTGGTAATCTTCTTCAAGGCCAATGGAATGATTGCTCATATTACATTTGCTTCCTTTCTCAAAATTCAAAATTTTGCTTAGAAAAATATTAAATATATTTTTAATAAAACAAAAAATATACTTTGTATACAAATGTATATCAAAATTTTGTTTTCTAATCATGTAAGAGGTGTGGTCAAAGGTGGTCGGTGAAGGTTTTCAATAGTCAACGATGGTTTTTAGTGAGAGCTGGTGGCCAAAGCTGGTTATTGATGGGTGGAGGTGGTTGTCAGCCGTTAGAGGTGATGGCTGGTGATGGCAGTCAGATGGGGTCATTGACAGCTACGGCTTAAAGAAAGCTAAAAGAGGTCATCAATTGCAGTGGTCGGATGAGGTGAGAGAGGAATGAATAAACTTTGTTTTCCAAACAAATGAAAATAATTTTTTTTTGTTACAAAAATTTAAGTTGTTTATAATATTTTAGAAATGAAATTAAACACCATTCGAGTTTTTATTTACAATTTTAAAAATATATAAACATAAATTGAAAATTGTTATAGGTTTCAAATATTGTATTTGTATTTTAGATTTATAAAGAAAAGAGAAGGAAAAAAAAATTAGAAAAAAGAAATAAATATGAGTAACCAAACTAGGCCTAATCTAGTTGGCTACTATATCTTCCTTAGAGCTTAATCTCAAGGAGGTTGAGTTAATTCTCCTTGGAGGGTTGAATTAAGGAAGTGAAAGCACTTAAGTTTGCCAAGGGTGGGGAGATTTTTTTTCTATAGGTACAACTCTAACAACTAACATTTGCCGATTAATTAAAAAAAAAAAAATTTAAATATGAATTTATATTTTCCATTTTTTCCTGAAATCTTCCTGAATGAATTTTTTGTCAATATCTTATTGCTAATCATATGGCATGCTCGGCATTTGATGGCCATCTAAAAGGAATCTATTACAGTGTACATTTTTAAAAATGGTAAATTATAAATACACTATTTGAGGTTTGATTAATGTCACGCTCCACTTTTTATTACTCGGATTTTCATTACCAAAGCTATTATTATAAATTCAATTTTAGAGATGGCACACAGAAGCTCAGTATAATTACAAGGAATACCTAAATAAGAATTCCCTCATTCGAATTATAAAATGAATGCAACATAAATAAATAAATAATTAATTAATTTACCCGTAGGCTTACATCATTTAATCCTGGAGGAAGGGTTTAACCCCTTTTTACATCTATGGCATTCCGCTTATAAATAAAAGGCCCGGCTACAAATAAGTATGTTCACTAGAAAAATATTAGCAACGTGGGATGAACATATAGTCCAGTAGGGATCTCAACATGATCCTCAACAATAACAACTTACAGATAGCTATAATCATGAACGCTAATCTCATACCATATAAATAATGTGACATTTGTAACAAAAGTATACATACAAACATGCTTTTCTCAAAATCATTCAGTTTATTCAACAATACCAAGGTTCGCTTTTACTGCCCATTTCCATTTTAACAATTATTACATAATAACCATCTTTTCCATTTGTAACAAAATAGAACATAATACCTGCTTTATTTTTGAAAACACGTTCACCAAATCTGATTTCTTCACATTATTTATAACCCAATACATAACCAAAGCCCATCTTCACACGTTCATTGCATTCTCAATCTTTAAGCTCAAGTTAAAAGAGATACTTTTAATAACTGATTATGGTAGGGAAATCCCTCCACTACTCTCTAACACCTCCAAATATACATAAACACATCTATTCAACATATAAGACATTACAACCTTACTGAATCATATTCATTACAACACATCACACACATAATCAAATGAGACAATAATGATAAATAATCTCCGCTGTACTTGCCAGAAGCACAGTAAGTCAATGATACATCTTTCCATAATGAAATACCAATTTACCAGACATCAGTTGGAAGAGAATTGTACCTCTGCCAATTCTCCAGGCGCTAGCTGGAAGGTAATCGTACCTCTCATTCTCAGCGCATTACACGTTTTCCAACCATCACTTTATACAATCATTCATAGATAACACAAGTGCACTACAGACACATAACCATTTCAACGTTCACAATGTCATCCTCCACCGATGACCAAAGACAAAACCTCTAAGCAATATGTATTAAATACACGAAATACAATCATTCAATTCTTATGAGGCATTAAATCCAACAACAACAATGATGTTCCAAGGTTTTCAACTTTTATCAAGGCCCTTTCTTAATTTGCAAAAGAGTCAATTTCCAATCTTTCGATTCACAATACAACAATCATATATATATGTATGTATAAAATAAATAAGACTCATTTCATTTGTTTAACCAAAACTCAACCCACGGATAACAAGGCCATAATCCGCTCAATTTCAACTCAACAAGGCGTTGCCCAAGATTTCTAATCTCATGAATAACTCCTTAATAACACTGAACAAATTATCCATCCGTTATATTCAACTATAATCAACCCAACACAAGGTAAATAACAAAATCATAAGGTCCAATTTAATCTCAAATCAATTGCCAACTCAATATTCGATTCCTCATTTCATAACATGATTATTTATCAATTTCAACCCTTTTTACTTACTAGGTATTATATAAAAAGAAATTTGGGCTTTATTTCTCTCTAAACATGAATATATTAAACCACACCTCAAATTAACCCAACAACGATTTATTTGCACAAAATCTCAACTTCAACATCAAACCTTAGATTCTCCTATCATGGTTTTCAGAGAAAAATCCATAACAACAAGGTTTTTATGCAATAGAATATACCACATGTCCATCTATAAGAGAGGCGTCAAAAGAGATCAAAGAAATCCCTACCTCAAAGAGAGAAGAGGGGAAAAGCCCCAAAATCAACTTCGCCGGAATACGATCTCCACCAGTCAACATGAAGCCCTCGACATGCTCATCATTTTAGTATAAGGAACAAGTATCAAAATCCCAATGGATTCTTGAGATCAAAACAGAATGCAAAGTTTTGAAGAGTTTAGGTAGAGAGAGATGAGAGAAAAATGGAGAAACATTGTAGAGAGAGTGATATATCAGAAATGAAGTGAAAAAGTAGCAAAAACTCAATACATAGCTGAAATGTACGAAAAATGAGACGAAAAACGCGCCTGGCCGCACGTGCGGCACCCTCTCCCGCACGTGCGCCGCACGTGCGAAGCGCCTTTCCTGCACGTACGACTCTCACCCCCGCACCTGCGGTCTCCCCCTCACCTCCTCCTCCACACCTGCCTTTTAGGCAGTGTGCACACAACCCTTTCCCCTGCTTCCCGCGCGTGCGGCCTCACCCCCTGCACGTGCGGCCCAAGGCCCCGCACGTGCGGCTCTGGGTTTCCAGCCCAGAAAAATTTCAGCTTCTCTCTCGACACTCCGGAGTCGACCTCGCACCCTCCGGGACAGGCGAAAACTCGGAAATGAAACAATGTAATCGAAAATATTTAGAAAAGAATTTTCAACGACAACTTACCCAACATAACTCAAAAGAAACAGGACGGCTTTCGAACCGGTCATCACAATTAAAATATAAATTTTTCTCTGTGTTCTAAAAATTACATTCTACCCCTTAAGGTTTCTAATTTCATAACAAATTGCCAATTTTATTAATAAATCATTAAGTCAATTAACAGTTTTTAATGATATTATAAATATGTTTTAATTAATAATTTAGGTAATTTTATTATTGTATAGAAGAGCAATGATGAATTTCTTTTTTTCTGTTAAATAAATTTTTTTAACAAGGGGATATTTGTAATTTTTCAAACTATAAGAAGCAATTTGTACTTTAAGCAAATCTCAGGAGTGTATTTATAATTTATCCTTTTAAAAAAGAGTACATTGCATGCATTTTATCATAACATATAATTATAATGTTTCAAATCAGATATCAAAATATTTTGTTATTTTTTTCGCCAAAAGATTTCGTAACATTTCTTATCACAAATGATTCGAAACATTTACATTACACTGCTCATAACATAACAATAATTGTTCAAGACTTTCACTTTAAGGATACATATCCTAACTTCATCATTCATAACTTTTATCACAAAGTGGCATAATACCACAAGTATTTGAAACTTTCACCATAAAAATAAAAAAATTAAAAAATTGTAACTTTTGTTTTGGTAGTGTTTGATATGTTAGACAATCTTCATTGTATTAATTTAATTTTTTGTTTGTGTACTCAACAACAACACAGAACATAAAAATAAATAAATTTAAAAGAAAGATTTTCCAGAATCTATTTAATTACAGAAACCAAATAGAAATTGGAAATAGAGTAGGAGGAAAGAAACAAAATAAGAACATGAAAATACTTGCAGAAAATATTTTCTAAGAATAATCAAGTCCAGTGTTTTACACTGTCTCCTTAAGATAGATTCGTTCTCTCTAGGGGTGCTCATAGATTGTTGACGTTTATCTTCCAGGATGAAATGATCTATAACGAACAGTAGCAGCACTAGAAACTGTTCGCACAATAAACACATTTTGTGTATGTACTCTTTCTCACAGAAAATAAATGCAACAAAATGTAGAGAGCAATATCAAAAACAAGAACGGAAAAATTAATTGTAAAATCCAAATAAGGGACTGACTATTTATCGGAGAATTGGTGGCTTTTCAGAATAGAATTCAACAGGTATAAAACCTATTCGGGATAGAGTTGAACAGGTAAAAACCTATTTGGACAGATGTGAACAGATAAAACTTGTTCAGGTTGAATTTAAACAGGTAAGAACCTATTTGATTTGGAGGAATAGGTGCATTGGACCAAACTACCAACGTTTAGAAACATTGGGGTCAATTCAGAATTAATTTTGAATTTCAAACCGAAATTCAAATTCC